CAGTCCCACATAACCCGGGCCACTTTGTAAACTCCCTTCCCAGAGGGGGGACCCGGGTATCCATAAAGGATTTCCACACGTAAAAAAAAGTATGTCTGTTGGAAAATGGACGAATCAGAATTCCTTTAGGATTTACCAGATGATTCTGATTAATTCCTTCCTGTTAAATGTACCAGAATTTTTCTTTATAATAATACTAAAATTTAGTTTCATTAACATGATCGTTTAGTAGTAAAAACCGTTTTTTCCGTTTGATTACTGTAATTTTTCTGATTGCTATAAGGTTGATTATATGAAAATTAGTAGTTGTATAGAAATAATAACATTTTATATAGAATAGGATACATATATTTTATACTTTTATTACATATTAATTTTTTACACTTATTGTTAAAAGTAACTTAAAAACTAATACACACGTCTTATGAACTGATATTTATTTTTACACATATATTTTATATTAATAAAAGTACATTAACATTTTTGTTGTGTTTTACCTTTACAAAACGTTTTTTGTAAAGGTAAAATCCTTCTTAACTAATTATTTTGTACTTATTGTTAATAATATACGTTATGACAGAGAAAATTATATAAGTAACTTAAAATCTATATTATCACTATAAATTACTATATTATAAACACTATAACTATGTATATACATATATTTACAAAGCATATTTCGTTGAGACCAATAGACTTCCACTTTTGGGTAAACGTGCAATAATAGCAGGAAAAGGATGACATAAATGTTCCACAAGAATACAAGACATTTCAGACAGTACTTCAACTTCCCAACCATGAAGATTTTTGCAGAATCTCTTATTAAGAAGATTTTGGTATACTAAACATAAATTAGAATCATTACACAAAACGTGTCTCACAATGCCAAACTGAGGAAGATGATCAAAAGATATGTTGACAACTACACATAAATTAGGTTTATAACAAATTCCCTTAAATTGAGCCCAAGAAAGTTCTAAACATTTGCCTATAAAATTTGCTGGTAAAGAGTTCTTAAATGTAGAGTAATTATTGAAATATGAGATGTCATCCGCAAAAAGTATCGAACCTAGTTTCTGATTATCAATCAAACCTATTTTAGATGAAAATCTATAACAAAGATACAACTGTTCTTTTACAGCAAGTGAATGCGTTATATTTTTACGAGAACACGTGGCATTTGCAGCAAGTTTCAATAATCTATTTTTGGATTCAAATCGTGCAACACTTAAATGGGATGGAGGTCCACTTTTTTTCAATATAGTTTTATAATGTGTCATATTATGATGTTTTGGTTTTAGATTATCCATAAAAACATTGCAATATTTTACGTGATGTTCCTCTACTAATACTCCGAGCAACCCAGCGCATTCCTTTTGGAGATATTTTGCATTAACCAAATCATGAATTTTACGTAAAATCAAATAATATTCCCATACTTCGTCATAAGAAACATCTTCTCCAACAAGAAATGGAAATAGAAGCAAAAAATTACTCATTTCATTAGCAGAAAAAGACAAATGTTTCTTTTTCACTTCATGCTCTCTTAAAGCTGGAAGTCTGTTTGAAATATTATTTGACGTATAATCAAAACCTTTCAAACGATCATTTAAAGTATTAAGAGTTATGTTTTTTATATTGTAAATGTAGTGATGTAATATATGGCTCATTCCATACTTATATACTCCTTCATCAAAATCATGCATTTTATCAACAGCAGCATTAGCTGTTACATGAAAATAATTTACTTTGTTCCATA